AGAAAAACACTCACTGCTCTTGACTGAAACACTTTAGATGATTAAAATGACTAAAATTAATCAAAATTTGCTGTCAAAATTAACACTGATCCAGCGCATTTAAAGCGACAGACGCAAAACTGCAGCGCGATTATAATAAACAAAGCATTATCATCCGCTGGTGTGGATGCTGCTAATTTATTTATATAACACAAGCCTTAATAAAAAAAGCAGTATATTCGACATGAATATGGCACCTATAGATATGTGTGTGTGTGTGTGTGTGAGAGAGAGAGTGTGTTTGTGTGTGTGAGCGTGTGTGTGTGCGAGCGTGCGTGTGTGTGTGTGTGAGAGAGAGAGAGAGTGTGTTTGTGTGTGTGTGAGCGTGTGTGTGTGTGAGCGTGCGTGTGTGTGAGCGTGTGTGTGAGCGTGCGTGTGTGCGAACATGCGTGTGAGAGAGAGAGTGTGTTTGTGTGTGTGTGTGTGTGCGTGTGTGAGTGTGTGTGTGAGCGTGCGTGTGTGCGAACATGCGTGTGAGAGAGAGAGTGTGTTTGTGTGTGTGTGCGTGTGTGTGTGCGTGTGTGTGTGTGCGTCTGAAAGGACAGGCTGAGGTTAAACATGTGTGTGCAGCGGTGCGGCGTTCAGGAGATGACAGAGCATGCAGTCGGGATGATCTCAGGGCCGCTCTGACAGAACGGATGAGGAACGACAGAAAACGCTCTGCCTCTCGAACGGGGGGTGTATTGGCAGGCCTGAGCGCATCCTAAGAGATGATGGATGGCCCAGTCGATGTGTTGTGTCTTTACCGTTTTATCGCCCAGGCCAAGCTGCACGTCTCATAAAACGTACAAAAATGTAAATATGTGGGAGTAAAAGAAGAGCAGACGTATAGATAAATCTGACGACGCAAGAGAGAACTCAGTTCGGTCCGGTTTTCTGAGCGCAGACACTGAAGCACACACACAGAAAGCGCCTCTCACAGCGCACGATTACTCTCTCGCGTCGCATGAACGGAGAATTACACACAAAATGATGTCGAATTGTCCCGTTTTGACGAGTATTCACGTAAACACAGTTGATTACGTCTTAAGTGAACGTAAACAGTGAGGAGAACGTGTCTCAGTACATTGCATGCATTGCAGCTGTGCATTCAGTTTTAAAGGGACAGCAGCCTAATTTAGCTGCTATTGTCAGAGCCATTGATGTTAATCAAGCAACAACAGAAAGACAGAAAAACACTCACTGCTCTTGACTGAAACACTTTAGATGATTAAAATGACTAAAATTAATCAAAATTTGCTGTCAAAATTAACACTGATCCAGCGCATTTAAAGCGACAGACGCAAAACTGCAGCGCGATTATAATAAACAAAGCATTATCATCCGCTGGTGTGGATGCTGCTAATTTATTTATATAACACAAGCCTTAATAAAAAAAGCAGTATATTCGACATGAATATGGCACCTATAGATATGTGTGTGTGTGTGTGTGTGAGAGAGAGAGTGTGTTTGTGTGTGTGAGCGTGTGTGTGTGCGAGCGTGCGTGTGTGTGTGTGTGAGAGAGAGAGAGAGTGTGTTTGTGTGTGTGTGAGCGTGTGTGTGTGTGAGCGTGCGTGTGTGTGAGCGTGTGTGTGAGCGTGCGTGTGTGCGAACATGCGTGTGAGAGAGAGAGTGTGTTTGTGTGTGTGTGGAGAAGTGGTTTTATTTAATTTTAACATAAAGGCATGTTGTGAGTCACCGCAGTTAAATCGGTCTCTATCATGATATAACCTTAATATCAAACCTATATAATGAGTTTGGACATTTTAGAGAAATGATTAATAAATGCACTGTAACTAAACCCATTAGATTTTAGTCGATTTTAGTTTATATTTAATCGAATAAAAATAGACTAAAACTAAAAACAATTCAGATGATTAAAATATGACTAAA